TGGTGAGGTGGAAAGAGGCTACTGCTGGCTACTGCAGGCAAATCTGTTTTTGACAATGTGAGCTCAGTGTTCAGGGCCACATGAATAGAGGTCTTCAGAGGTTGGGGGGAGCAGTGGAGAAGGTGTGGGGGAGGGGCGGTAGTAGAAAGAGGGTGGGGAGAAAGAATAGAAACCAATTGGAGAGGATAAGTTGGAAACAAACCCTGATCAACTTACTCTAATTGCATTTGACAGCTCTGGAGAAGTTGGGCCGAGTTGGTGGATTTTTTTTCCCTCACCAAGCTGACAAGAGCCACTAGGTACTTTGTAAACACACGATCTGGGGGTTAGATCAAGAATTCAGGGGTTGTCCAGCAAGAGACAGAAACGCACAGCAAAAAGAACTGAGAGAGGTATTACCAGAGAGCTGGACTCCCCTTCACCTAGGTTGTTTCAGAAAATTCTTGATGGGGATGTTTCTGCAGAGAAACACATTTCTACCATGGTCTATGTAAACCGGCAGCCTTTACTTTTCCTCAGGTTAAAAAAAGAAAATAAAAAACACAAACAGTGCCTTTTCAGGATTTTGAAGTCAATGTTCAAAATGTGCAAAAATCAAGGAAGACTGTCTTTTGGCTTTTAATTTGTCCTCCCTTTCCCTTTGCTCCGGTGTTTTCTCCTCTTTGGGGTACTGTAGGATGTTGTCTTCTCCCCAAAGAGGGAGACAGGTTTCCGATTGTTAACAATGTCAGTAATTGGACTTTTGGACCATGCTTTTTTTTTTTTTTCTTCAACGAATCCAATCACCGGTAAAATCCTCTCCCCGTCTAAGGTTTCCTAGCCTTAAATGAAAGCAATCTCAAGTCGCTAGCCACTGAGAGAGATCCTTCAACACATTTTTTTTTTTCTTTCCCGCTTACGTTCCTATTCCTCTCCCCCGGCTCTATTCTAATACAGTATCAAGAGAGACAAAACTCTTCCGAGAGTAATTTACAAACGATGGTCAAACTTACAAACTTCCAGCAAATTGCACCGAGTCATGTCCAGCCACTTTCCTGTCCACTTTTGTACATTCCATCCCCGGCCAGTGGATCTGAGGGTCTGGACTCTCGATAAGCAATGTGGTTCTATCTCTTGTATTTGCTCCGCTTTATAGATGGAAAAAAAAAAAAAAAAAAAGAAAAAAGAAAGTAGCTTGTATTTTCCTTTCTCTTTCTCGTCTGCTGTTCGCCGCTTTGCTGACACTGGCTCCCGCCCGGAGTCACGGCGATACACAGGCTTTCATTGTGCTCCGATAGGAGAGGGAGAGAAAGAGAGAGAGTGAGACAGAGAGGGAGAAAGAGAGAGCCAGCGAGCTGCAGATGGGGGGGCGGGGGGCGGGGGGAGGGCGGGAGCGCGCGTTCGAGGCTCCCTGGTGGAAGGCTGGTGCCACTGCGCGAGTGAGTAATCGCGGCGCGGCGCCGGGGAAAGGGGACGCAGAGGGCCTCCCAGTGGCTGAAGAGGTAAATCCCGGAGCCTGCGGATCTCAACAGCCCTCGCTCGGCCAGCTCAGTCTCAGACTTGGGTGGGGGTGGGTGTGTGTGTGTGTTGGGGGGGAAGGCTGGGGAAATTCCCCAACCTCTACAGCACCACTTCACCAGCTCTAAATGTGCAAGAAATTCCGGGGGCCGGGAATGTGTTTTCCCCTTCAGACCTACATGACGCCCCCCCCCCACACACACACGCACGCACACCCTTGAGGATATCGTTTTCATTTTTCAATATGTTGTAAATGACACCACTGAGCACCCTAGCGAGAGCTGGGTGAGCACTGAGGAAGTAATGTTCATTAATAAAGAAGATGGTGAAATGTGTGTTGGGGGGCGAGGGGAGTGTGTGGAGAAGGGGGTGGGGTGGGGAAATCACATGGTTAGCTCCTAAAGGGCAGGCAGGTGTGGTGTCTACCCACCTGCCTGCTCTTTGTGTGTCTCTGGATGAAGTGAATCTGGGTGATCACAAGCACATCAGTAGGGGTAAATAAAATATCTTATGAAGATGGTAAAATTACCAATGCCAGTTGTGGGAAAAGAGGTTTTTGCTTTGAAAATGCAGGACTGCCTATGACAAACCAAATACAAGAGCTGAGGTCTGCAAAGCTATCTGGTGAACATATAAGATGAGGAAAAGCAGTATGTGGCAGTTGAATTTCAAGAAGTTTAATGACACAAACCTAACAGATCTCTTACACAGACCATTGTCCCCTCATCTTCAGATGATCTTACTTTGAAAATATTAAACCTTATAGTGAATTCTGCTTGTCATTATCAATTATGAAAAATTAACTAAGGTGAGCACAATATTGGAACGGTCAGGACCAAAAATATTCAGAGTGAACTAAGTTGGAAGTCATTTGGATTTGAGGTCTCAAGCAATGGACCTTCATTAATTTAAATGAACTTTGGCATTTCAGTAACATGGCCCTTGCTTCAAACTGAGCTAAGGAAAGAAATGTATGGGCAAAATCAATGCAAACATTTCAAGACTGGATTTATCTACAACTCAGTTCCCTATAGGTTGGCTTATATTAGTCCAATTTATTTTTCACAAATCTTGGAATGTTAGCTTAGAAATAGGGACAAGTACATTGTGATGAAATACAATTTTTAAACTTTTCACTGGAACATACTTCTGTCTATTCCTTCCAAGGCTAAGTTAGTTCCTCATTACTCATGAGAAGAAAAGCAGAAATATATCTTTGTCATATAAATAAAATTTTAATGGTGAATGAAGTATTAAAAAATGAAAGACTTTAAATAATTTTATATGATTCTTAAAAAGTTGTGTTTATTAGACAATCTCTTTTTCTGCTACTATGGGTGTTTTACATTTGGCAGTCATACCTGATAAAAGAGAAAAAAGTGTAATATTTAAATTTAAAACTTAATGTTCACTCCATAGCACTGCAGTACACAGATTTTGATTAATAACATGGAATCATTAGTCAAATCAGCTATTCCTAAATGATATAATAAACTTTGATTTCTCTTCTAGACACGGACATATTTAAAAACTTGTGAAGTAGGAATTTAATAAATTTTCATATTATACTCCAATGGTGTAAGACACTTCTTTGGAGTGTCTTTTGTACACATTTGCCCATATAACATCATTTTATTTCAAGTTGACATAATTATCATCAAAATCCTCATTGCCATTCACATCAGTTACTATTTAAAAAAATCACTGTTTCAGGTGCAGCATTTCACATATATGATCTCCTTCAATCTATGAACAATCCTGAGACAGGTATTATTAACCCCATTTATAAATGAAGAAACTGAGTCTCATCAAAATTAAACTGTGTGTTCCAGTTTAAATAACCAGAAAGTAACAGACCAAGATTCAAACTCAAGAATGACTTCAAACCTCTCTTAACCACTGATCTTGCTGCCTTAGTATCAAATGTGAAAGAAATTATAGGAAAGCTAGACAATCCCCTAAGTACCTTAAGGGCTGGAACTATCCCTCAGTCAATATGCTGGAGTTTAAGCAAGTCGTATAATAACTCCAAGGAATGAGTACTAACTCCAAGGAATGAGTACTAACTCCAAGGAATGAGATAGAACTACTCATCTGAATATGGGAGCAGACAAGTCAGGAAATATGGTCAATTGCAACCGACTGCCTTTAAAATAAGCATTTCTTTTGTGCCCTTGTTTTTCCTGTTTTATGGTTCTGTTCCCTCTCATAACCCTAAAACTTTTGTATAGCCCTATGAATTCTTTCAAACATTGCTTCCCTTTTACTTGTCCATTTCTGTTCTCATCTCTTCTATCCACAGCTACCTAACACTAAAGTACTATAGTAATAAATGCCCAGATATAAAAATTTCAGTCAAGACATATGAGATTTCTAAGCTTAAAAACTATTTTTGTTATAATTGAATCAATGATATCAATAAGATAATACATAATAGTAAATATTCTGTTTTTATTAATTATTAATGTTTGATTACTATTAATATTTGATTACTATTAATATTTGATTTTGTCCTCTAATCTATGCTAGTTCTCATTTCCTAACAGCCTGTCTCTTTGCCATTCTTTTGGTGTTATCATGTACATTAAAAAGCCTCTTGTATTATCTAAATACCCAGTGAAGTAGCATGCATGGCTGCAATCTGACATCAGAAAAATTACTTATAACCATCAATTCATGATCAGCAGTCAGCTGTTATAATAGGAAAAATGCTTCAAACCAACAAGATGCCTGACCTAGGAACTGGATCAGCTTCCATCATAAGTTCCTGGAATTATTAGTGCCTTAATTTTACAAGTTAACAGCATGCTATTAAAAATAATGGATAAATCAATTTTTAAAACTTTCTAGTTGGAACTATTTTACTGTTCCCCTATCTCAGGCTTGTCTGTAGTGTCATGAGAAGTGATGCATCCAGGGTCATCAGAGATACTTGAGAAATCATTCTCTTGCATTTCCTCTGGCCTTCCTTATTATAAATCGTTCACGATGCTTTACCCTTCCACTTTGACTGTCACTTCTCTAACTGCTTGTTTTTGGACACTGTCCCCTTCATCCGCACCTTTCAACTATGGCTTCATTTTATTCCCTGGAATTTAGTTAAGGATTATTTTGCCATGTGCTGGAGAAGTACAAATTAGAATATGGATATGTGACTGAAATTTCTACTTTAGACTTTTGAAAAAAGTATATGCTCCTTATTAAACATCAGCACCAGCATTTTTACTACTTTGTGAGTTTTTTCTATCCAGTTTGTTTACAATATTAGTATGGATAATTTCAGAAAATGAATTGCAGAAAACTAATCTCCATGTAACAACTTAATGTATCTTTTTATGTATACACATACACTGAGGTCCATGCCATGAATCACATAATAGATGAAGTCAAGTTCAACTAACAATTCTAGTCAGAAAAAAGTATCTAAAATTCCACAGTAGAATGGATCCTACTAAAACACCACTTTTAAGAAATAAAAATATAGAATAGACAGGGTCTGTTTGTTCACTGTGCAACAGTTTTACTTTATTATTTTATGGGAGAATCGAGGTGTGCAAAGCAATGCAGGTACCAAAATATGCTTTTAAAGTGTTTTTGGCTGAATTTGTCTTTTTGAGATATTCTGACCCTAGCATACATACTTATATGGAAAAAGTTATGGATAAAAATAAATAAAATATATCTTAATCATTAATATCTAGATAAAATTGAATAGAAAAAAGAAAGAATATTGTAAGGCATAAAAATAAATATCATGAAATTATTCTTGAATATGAGAGTTGAAAGACTCTAGAGGTCTGAAATCTATTTGAAAGGGAAATTTTAGAAAAGGAAAAATACACTCTGTATTTGGAATAGATAAGCTACACTCTGATTGTGAGGCAAGGGGAATAGACTGAATGATACATTGAGTATTCTTCCATGGCCCACTGATTTAGATGACAGTATTCAAAAATATATTAGTGAAGAACACGTAATACTGCAAAAAAATAATAAACAGACCTGGAAAGGGATGCAGCAACAAATACACATAGATGTTAATCTAAATACATCTTTAAAATACGACATATTTCTATTAAACTGACAGGACATGAACAGATCATTCACTTGACAGTCATGTGTCATAAAGGCATTGTTATGTAACTTTAAAATACATTTACAGACTTAAAAATTATTAAGCTTATGTTTTCTATGTACATCAGATAAAAGTTTTATTAGACTATAGAGTGCCATGTCATGGGAATTAAAATGAACATATGTTTTATACAAGATATTCTGCCATGAAGATGTACATACATAAAATTTATAAATTTGTCACATGATATAGAGAAACAAGATTCAGGATCTTCACATTTACAAGAATTTATAAAATCTTCTTTGAAGGAAATGTGTTACAATTCAGTCAAACTTCTCATCTTGAAAGTAATCCGCAAAATTGAGATATTCTTCAAGTTGACCGTATTTCTGCATATATAATAAAAAAGCTAGTTATTTTACTCAAAGGAATGAAGATAAGCTAGACCTTTTCAAACTATAGACACAAACAGGAACAAGTTCCTTTCATGTAATCTGAACAAAAATCTTTTTATTATAAACAGGAACCCAATTTCAAATAAGCATTTCTAGCTCACAGAAAGCATTGGAAAAAGATCAAACTATTATTACTAATTTCATAACTATCTTATAATTTTTCTATTAAAGTAGAAATGTAATAACTTCAATAACTTAATTTAATAAAAATTTGTTTAACATATATATAAAATACTCTGCTAAACACTATCTAGGTGCAAAATTTTAAGAAGATACTTTCCCTGACCCTAAAGAGAACAGAATTCAGTAGTAATATACCAATGGCATTCAGTAATTTAAGTGCCATAAAGAGGTATAGTCACTATTAAGAGGGTTTATAAGAGGGGTCATGGTTAATTGAAGTGACCAGAAAAGAGTGGCATTTAGGCTGTCCTGGGAAAAAAGATTTGGTAGGCAAAGAGTTGGTGGTGAGAGTTTTCTGTAAGAGACAAACAGTCCATCCAACGATGACATGACAAGAAAGCATGGGATCCACCTACAATCTGAGGTTTTGTAGGGGAACAGAGAGAGGTAAGATTGAACCAAAGAGATTGAAGTCAGAGAATAAAAAGTATTAAATGCTAGGTTAAGGAGTTTACAACAATTTGACAGGCAATGGAAAGCTGCTAAAGGTTTTAGAGCACGGGACTGATCTATTCTGAGATGTATTTTAAGAAAATTGGTAAAATAACCATTCTAGAATGATTTGGCAACTACTGATGAGTCTATGGTAACAAATTAAGACAGGAGGGCCCAAATTTGAGTGATAGCAATGAAGATGGAGAGTAAAGAACAGGGTAGAACAAGTTAAGAGAGGAGTCAAGATGATTTAGAGGTTTCAGAGTTGACAGAGTAGGAGCATAATGAATGGCAGGGCTACTTCACAGGTGGTTGAGGGAGGGAAAGAGATATGTAAGTTCAAAATGCTTACTTCAGTTGAGGAGATTAAATGATCTAATGGTTTCTTGACTCTTTATGGACTCTCTATCCTTAATGAGATGAGAAAGGATCCTGATGATCCTGACTTTTATGGTGATAGGGACAACAGAAGGGAATGTGGGGAATGCATTTTTCTTCTAGACAAGGCCATGAAACCCTTTTATACCCCCAAGATATCTGACTGAATCACCTTCTCAGGAAAGACTGAAGAATGTAACAGAGGGGAAAAATAATCTATGAACTAATTAGGGATTTTCTTGGGCTAGTACTCAGATTTGATTAGATATAAATAAAGTATTCTAGGATTAGAAACTTATACTTAAAAAATGTGGCTGTTTCCTTTATATCCTTTTATATCCTTATATCCTTATATAATTTTCCTTTATATCCTTTTTCTCTATTATTTATTAAATTTCTTTTTGGAAAATTAAAATCTATCTCAGCTGCACTAAGATAGCAAGGAAAACCTCTCATCACTTTCATTGCAAATTATAGCTAACATTAATTGATCACTTACTAATTGCTAGGTCTTATACTAATTGCTTAAAATGTGTTACACATTTAGTCTCTGCAATCAAAACTCTAATTATCATTATTGTTTTAGTTCCTACTTTACAAATTAGAAAACTTAGGCTTAAAGAAATAAAGTAACTTGCCCCCAAATTCTCCTGCTGGTAAGTGGCAGGCAGAAAAAATATGCAAATCCATACTTTTAACCATTGTAGTATGCTGTTTCTGAAATTTAAAGGGTAGGACAGGGATGCAGCTGTGGTAATAAAAAATAAAAACCTCAAAAGGGAAAGTGAAACTTAGAAGTCAGTATTACTCTGCCATGCTCTCCACCTAAAGATGCTGCTCCCACAGTTCTTCTTTATTAAAAATTTGGAGAGTCTGGGTCTTATCTGAATAATGAAGATTACTCTTTCATAATGACAGATTGACCTAGTGATGGAAACAGCTGGGACTTTGGGAATGGAGTGTGGGGAAAAGGTCAGAACATAAAAGGAATTTGGAGTCTTCTATTCAGAAGTAGCAACTAGACCTGCAGAAAGGAATTGATTTGCCAAGGAAATTGTGAGAACTGAGGACAGACTTTAGTGTAACAAGTAGTCCTCAATCTTTAATTAACTTAATCTTTAATTAACCACCTAATCAGGGGTCCTCAATCTTTAATTTACTTAGTTATCACCCAATTGTTAAAATATCTGTTGTTTAATACCTCCAAATATTGTCATTCAATGTAGGTCAGGAGTGAGGCCAGGGATTATACATTTTCCACAAACTTCTAGGTGATTCTGACATAGGTAGTTTAGGGCCATGTTTTGAGATATGTCAGTTTAAGGGGTAGAAAAAAAAAAGGGAAATAAAAAAGTTAAAAAGGAAGGAAAAAGAAGAGAAGAAATAAGAATAGTTTAAGGAAGGGGAGGGATATCCAATTATAATTTTAAATTCTTATTTATATAATAATATTTATGTAATATATTTAAAGTTTACTTTAAATACAACTGTCACTTGTAACAGTTTTACAGCTGTATTTAAAGTGTCAACTGACACTTTAATTCTGTTGACATACTTTTTCACTTCCCAGTGTTCAGGTATCCACTACCCCAACCCAACAATACTGTCTTCAATTGCCCAGGAAACCCCATCATCATATGTACTTTCTTCTTAATGAAAAAACATTTGTTAGAATTTTTCATATTCTAGTTTGTTCATATTATAGTATTTTCTTTAACTCTTCTTCAGAATAAGTATATTTTATTATTTTTATTATACATTTTGGTTTTATTACAATTTTTCTATCATTTGTTTTCTTCTTATATTTGAGTTGTTCCTATACTTCTTTAATATCATTAAATTAAAAACGGATCATCTTAGTTCAACAGTTAGGATGAACAAAGAAGAATGAAGTCAGTTTGGTTGGCAGATCTTTAGGAAGACATACTGAGATATCCTGAGATAATGGAAGAAAAAATGGCTGGAAAAGGGGTAGGTAGGGAAAAAGTAAGGAATGAAGCACAGGCTGGGGCAGAAAGACAGGAACAAATAGTTTGTGCAAAGCAAAAGAAGGGGTTGCCATAATTGGGAGGTAAGAGCAGAAAGAGCCACGGAGATGGCATCCAAGTAGCACTGAGCCCCAGGCATTCTAAAGGGTTAGAGTATCTGTGACCAGGAGACTGCAGCCAAAGAAGGCACGCATCACAAAGCACATGCAGTGCTATCACTCAAAGGCACATGGAGAGAGGAAGAGGCAGAAAGTGGAAAGTACACAGCACTTGACAAATTTAGAAATTTCATCACAGCACAAAAAGCTGCAAATAGGTTTATATTGGCTATAAACTTCTGTGGTTTCTAGGAAATATTTTGAGAAAGTCTTTGGACAAATTTTTTTTTTAAATGGAGGGATCTCAACAACTTTAGAAAATTAAGCTTTTTGGTATTTTTATGTGAAAAAAATGTGCACATTGTCCTAAACACAATGCATGATCTTGAAATGCCTTCAGTGCCTAATGCTAGGTGTTAATTCTTTATATAAAATATGATACTTGTCTTTCTTTTCTTGAGAATATTTTTCTTATTCCAGCTCCCTTCTGTTGTCCTAGACCTTGTTAAGCTTTCTCTAAGGTATATGATTTGGAAATGCCTTTTGTTTTTTCTGCAAAGAGTTTATAATGTTCTTTCCCATATATGCTATTATGATATAATATATATAATACATGCACAGTGATTCTTCTAAACTTAGTATACAATTCTTCACAAATGTGGCATCCCAACAGGTTTTATCATTCCACTAAAGGGCTGGGAACACTTAAAGGCATTGATAAAAGCAATTAAGAATTTAATGTTGTCTGGGAAAATGAAGACGGGCATTACTGGGTAAGCGACAGATCTCCCCTAAGGCAAATGGAAAAGCACAGAGAAGGATGGTGGGAAGCATTTAGAGTAGGAGAAGTAGAGGCAAAGTAAAAGATAAAAAGCTGAAGAGAGTAAAATGAGAGGAAGAAGACTTAAGGATCAAGATGAGGGGGCAGGCAAGATCACTGGGTGGTGGTTTGTGGTGGGAGGATAATTGTTAAAAGAGAAACCAATCATGATGTCATTCTCTAGACTGGGAGACTTACACTAAACATGACATGTCCTAAGACGTACCTATTTTCTTGTTCTCTTTTTCTTTCCCTCTGCTCATAAGTTTGTGTTCTAAGCTCTCTTGCCTTATTTTTTATTTTCCTCTTTTACAAATTTCCTTATGTAACCCAGGCAATGGATTTCAAGTCAGGCTTTTTTTCAAGATTAAATATACTGTTTTCTGAGTTGCCTGAATATCTACTATTTGTTCTCTCTTACACATTTATGTAACTAGACTTGCTTTAGAAGACTGCAATCATATTAACATTCTTTCCATGGACCATAAACAATTCTAAAAGCTCTGTGAGCAGACCAGAGCTTATGAGCTGCCAGCAGATCTTCGGGAATCCAGTGCACTCTTCAAAACCCCCACTTTATCCCTGATAGCAAATTTAGTGATCAATAGGATATGGGGGAATCAAAATCAGTGCCGTGGCCTGAAACCTCTGCATTCCCCTCGATCTTCAGTTACAGTGCTCACTGCTCAGTCCCATGTCCTCAAGAAGAGGATGTGGGTGGTATTAGAACTGGCAGCCGAGATCCTTTCCTCAGATTGGCACCAGGTGCTTCTTCACTCTCAGGTCACAAGAACTGTTCTAAAGAATAGGAAGCAGACAAGCAGAGGTGAGTCCTATACTTTGTCAAAGAAAATAAGGGGACTTAATATATATGTAAGCAATACATATGTAAAAGTGAAAGGACAGAGGTCCTTCATTAAGGAACAGTAATATTGCTTATTAAAATTTATCTGATGAACCAAGTGAATCCGTAGAACATCAGGGCATCTATTCAGGGTAGGACAATGATAAGCATGAAAGGAATGGGTGGAAGATGAGAAAATACAAAGACAGGGAGAGAAGGAGAGATTCTCTTTTAAATTTCACTGTCTTCTAATCATTTGTATCTTTTTGCTGATCATAATCAGGCCCCAGAATCTACAGTATGAGATGGCTTTTATATATTCACCTTACCTCCTTAATCCAGCCACTTTCTTTGGACTGACTGAAAATTCTTTCCACTGTTTCTTTAACCTGTTCATCCTCCACTTCTTCTGTCTTTGCAATGGAGCAACATTCCTGGTACAGTTTGAATTTAAAATGTTTCAGTTTATGATAAATTATGGTACGATCAGCACAAATTCTGCCAACAGTAAACACCTAAATCAAGAAATAAAGATTATTATGTGACATATGAAGTGAAAATATAGTAATGTATATAACTTTTCTTGTTTTCAGATTTTCATTAATAGTAGAATGTAGCAAATGCATTATTAATTTTATTTAAATGTTTATATGATGATTCCGTTACCTTCTCTTATTTATACAACCAGTCAAAAACTGAGACTTTGTTATGTTTCAAGTATTGGGCTGGGCACTGAAGATAGATAAGTGAAAGATGCACTCCCTATGGTAAGGGGCTTATAATTTTGGGAGGAAGACAAATAATTATAAAACACCATGACAAATGCTATTGAGATGCTAGTGAGGGGCACTTAGCCCAATGCAGAGATCTGCAAGTAGGTGATGCTCAAATAGAGTTTTGAAAACGTACAGTTAGCCAAGTTTGAGAAGGGAGAGACAAATGATTTGTAAGGCAGAAAGAAAGACACACATGAAAGCAAAAGAAAGCATGTAAAGTATTGTAAGTACACAGTCACTGAGTTAAAAATGCTTAAATTATAATAATTTTCTAGATATAAGCAACATGTAAAACTGAAACTCTTACGCCAATATTAAGTATTGGTAGTTTTTTACTAAATACTTTTTTCCCAAAAAAAGTTATAAAATAAAAAATAATTTTATGTTTAGGCACATTTGTTGCTTTCATTAAGGTGTTGTATGTGAATAAGACACATTAATATTTTATTATCAGCCAGCTAAAAGAATTTTAATTTCTATGTTTAGATAAACGTCTAGGATTCTATGATTAAGAATTCTTTTGTGAAATTGAACCAGAGCATTTTCCTTTCAGAATGTCTTGAATGTTTGTAGTTTGTTTTATAATACAAACCCACAGTCAAAATAGAAAGATAGCATCATTGCATTGACCACATTAAAGATATTTTTACCTACACATTTTAACCCAACATATAAAATGCATCAGAAAGGACTCTAAACATTATGATATGGTCAATTTTATTCTCATGGAGTAATCTGAGGAAATAGGTAAACTCCTGATTACTTATATATCTGTGTCTATGTCCAAGTTCACTAATTGGTTATGTTTTCATGAGTTCAGTACAAGTGGTATAGTTTTAATATTTATCTATCTTGTGTTCTATCTAATCAAAAATTATACTTTTTCTTCTGAAGCCACACTGCAAGGGAACACATTAATGATGATGTTCAATAGATAAGCCAAGAGTATATTGCCAAAAATGAATAAAAGTTATATCATGATGATGGGCAAGAGTCAGGTTTGATATGTTTTCATATAAAAATGGTATTCTGGACATCTTACAACCTTTCTTTAAATCCCTCAAAGTTTAACAAAAGCATATTCAGATTTCTATTTATGGTTCTATAAAAACCTTCCTACTTTTCAGATCATTAGAAGTAATCAGGTATTATTGTACATTGCTGGCTTATTAAAAGTATCTTTTCCAATTCAACATTATCATTGAAGTAGTCCTAGTAGTAAATGACATTCCAATAATTCACTTGCCCTACCTCCCAGTTTGAGTAAAAAGATACCACAATAGCTGTAGTGGCCACTAGGGGTATCTGGTGTTCACACATCAAAGTAGATTGTGTGGGAGAAGTCTGCTATAGCTGTTCTGGATAAAATATAGTCATAGAATAACGTGATTTGTGTTTCTATCACATTGTATTCTATACTTCCACCAAAACAAGAAGAATTTATCTGCACAGAATTTTTAAGTTGGAATAAGAGGGAAGGAGAAATGTTTAAAAATCCTTAATTTTTTCCTGTATGAAACATAAATATCCTTTGAAAATATTAAACATTATGTTTTACTTCTTTCCCTTTCTAATTCCTACCCTCTTGGCATCTACTTACCATTATATAGGTCAATAAACCCCAAATTACCTTTACAATGTTCTCACACTACTTTTTTCCCAAAGCATGATCACATTTTATATGTAAGAGCCCAATTTTATGTGGAAGAGCACCACTGCTGTAAGGCTTAATAGAAAACAGATCATATAATAGATGTAATACTTCAAGTAGACTTGTCCCATCACCCCATCCCCATTTGTTTTTTTTTTTTTGGAGACAGAGTCTCACTTTGTTGCCTAGGCTAGAGTAAAATGGGGGGCAAGATCACTGGTGGTGGTTTGTGGTGGAGGATAATTGTTAAAAGAGAAACCAATCATGATGTCATTCTTAGACTGGGAGACTTACACTAAACATGACATGTCTAAGACGTACCTATTTTCTTGTTCTCTTTTTCTTTCCTCTGCTCATAAGTTTTGTTCTAACTCTCTTGCCTTATTTTTTATTTTCTCTTTTACAAATTTCCTTATGTAACCCAGGCAATGGATTTCAAGTCAGGCTTTTTTCAAGATTAAATATACTGTTTTTGAGTTGCCTGAATATCTACTATTGTTCTCTCTTACACATTTATGTAACTAGACTTGCTTTAGAAGACTGCAATCATATTAACATTCTTTCCATGGACCATAAACAATTCTAAAAGCTCTGTGAGCAGACCAGAGCTTATGAGCTGCAGCAGATCTTCGGGAAATCCAGTGCACTCTTCAAAACCCCACTTTATCCCTGATAGCAAATTTAGTGATCAATAGGATATGGGGAATCAAAATCAGTGCCGTGGCCTGAAACCTCTGCATTCCCTCGATCTTCAGTTACAGTGCTCACTGCTCAGTCCCATGTCCTCAAGAAGAGGATGTGGGTGGTATTAGAACTGGCAGCCGAGATCCTTTCCTCAGATTGGCACCAGGTGCTTCTTCACTCTCAGGTCACAAGAACTGTTCTAAAGAATAGGAAGCAGACAAGCAGAGGTGAGTCCTATACTTTGTCAAAGAAAATAAGGGGACTTAATATATATGTAACAATACATATGTAAAAGTGAAAGGACAGAGGTCCTTCATTAAGGAACAGTAATATTGCTTATTAAAATTATCTGATGAACCAAGTGAATCCGTAGAACATCAGGGCATCTATTCAGGGTAGGACAATGATAAGCATGAAAGGAATGGGTAAAATGAGAAAATACAAAGACAGGGAGAGAAGGAGAGTTCTCTTTTAAATTTCACTGTCTTCTAATCATTTGTATCTTTTTGCTGATCATAATCAGGCCCCAGAATCTACAGTATGAGATGGCTTTTATATATTCACCTTACCTCCTTAATCCAGCCACTTTCTTTGGACTGACTGAAAATTCTTTCACTGTTTCTTAACCTGTTCATCCTCCACTTCTTCTGTCTTTGCAATGGAGCAACATCCTGGTACAGTTTGAATTTAAAATGTTTCAGTTTATGATAAATTATGGTACGATCAGCACAAATTCTGCCAACAGTAAACACCTAAATCAAGAATAAAGATTATTATGTGACATATGAAGTGAAATATAGTATGTATATAACTTTTCTTGTTTTCAGATTTTCATATAGTAGAATGTAGCAAATGCATTATTAATTTTATTAAATGTTTATATGATGATTCCATTACCTTCTCTTATTATACAAAGTCAAAAATGAGACTTTGTTATGTTTCAAGTATTGGGCTGGGCACTGAAGATAGATAATGAAAGATGCACTCCTATGGTAAGGGGTTTAATTTTGGGAGGAACATAATTATAAAACACCATGACAAATGCTATTGAAATGCTAGTGAGGGCACTTAGCCAATGCAGAGATCTGCAAGTAGGTGATGCTCAAATAGAGTTTTGAAACATACAGTTAGCCAAGTTTGAGAAGGGAAGACAAATGATTTGTAAGGCAGAAAGAAAGACACACATGAAAGCAAAAGAAAGCATGTAAAGTATTGTAAGTACACAGTCACTGAGTTAAAAATGCTTAATTATAATAATTTTCTAGATATAAGCAACATGTAAAACGAACTCTTACGCCAATATTATATTGGTAGTTTTTACTAAAACTTTTTCCCAAAAAGTTATAAAATAAAATAATTTTATGTTTAGGCACATTTGTTGCTTTCATTAAGGTGTTGTATGTGAATAAGACACATTAATATTTATTATCAGCCAGCTAAAAGAATTTAATTTCTATGTTTAGATAAACGTCTAGGATTCTATGATTAAGATTCTTTTGTGAAATTGAACCAGAGCATTTCCTTTCAGAATGTCTTGAATGTTTGTAGTTTGTTTTATAATACAAACCACAGTCAAAATAAAAATAGCATCATTGATTGACCACATTAAAGATATTTTTACCTACACATTTTAACCAACATATAAAGCTCAGAAGGATCAAAATTATGATATGGTCAATTTTATTCTCATGAGTAATCTGAGGAAATAGGTAAACTGATTACTTATATATCTGTGTCTATGTCCAAGTTCACTAATTGGTTATGTTTTCATGAGTTCAGTACAAGTGGTATAATTTAATATTTTCTATCTTGTGTTCTATCTAATCAAAAATTATACTTTTTCTTCTGAAGCCACATGCAAGGGAACACATTAATATGATGTTCAATAGATAAGCCAAGATATATTGCCAAAAATGAATAAAGTTATATCATGATGATTGGCAAGAGTCAGGTTTGATATGTTTTCATAATAAAATGGTATTCTGGACATCTTACAACCTTTCTTTAAACCTCCTAAAGTTTAAAAAAGCATATTCAGATTTCTATTTATGGTTCTATAAAACCTTCCTACTTTTCAGATCATTAGAAGTAATCAGTTTATTGTACATTGCTGGCTTATTAAAAGTATCTTTTCCAATCTCCAACTATCTTGAAGTTAGTCCTAGTAGTAAATGACATTCCAATAATTCACTTGCCTACCTCCCAGTTTGAGTAAAAGAACACAATAGCTGTAGTGGCCACTAGGGGTATCCGGTGTTCACACATCAAAGTAGATTGTGTGGGAGTCTGCTATAGCTGTTCTGGATAAAATATAGTTATAGAATAACGTGATTTGTGTTTCTATCACATGTATTCTATACTTCCACCAAAACAAGAGGAATTTATCTGCACAGAATTTTTAAGTTGAATAAGAGGGAGAGAAATGTTTAAAATCCTTAATTTTTTCCTCTATGAAACTAAATATCTTTGAAAATATTAAACATTATGTTTATCTTTTCCTTTCTTAATTCCTACCCTCCTTGGCATCTGCTTACCATTATATAGGTCAATAAACCCCAAATTACCTTACAATGTTCTCATACTACTTTTTTCCAAAGCATGATCACATTTTATATGTAAGAGCCAATTTTATGTGGAAGAGCACACTGCTGTAAGGCTTAATAGAAAACAGCAGATCATATAATAGATGTAATATTCCAAGTAGACTTGTCCATCACCACCATCCATTTGTTTTTGTTTTTTTTTTTTGGAGACAGAGTCGTACTTGTTGCTAGGCTAGAGTGGGAGTGCTGTGGCGTTAGCCTAACTCACAGCAACCTCAAACTCCTGGGCTCAAGCAATCCTACTGCCTCAGCCTCCCAAGTAGCTGGGACTACAGGCATGCGCCACCATGCCCGGCTAATTTTTTCTATATATATATCTGCCAATTAATTTCTTTCTATTTATAGTAGAGATGGGTCTCACTCTTGCTTAGGCTGGGTTCGAACTCCTGACCTCGAGCCATCCGCCCGCCTGGCCTCCCAGGATGCTAGGATTACACGCACCGGCCCCATCCCCATTTTAGTGTATTGTTATGGCCCGTTATACTTCTTTACTATATGAATTGATGTATATAGTACAACACAGGTTCACTGTAGGATCTCATTTGCATAAAGTACTAAAACAGTAAAATTAATCTATGCTGTTAGAATAGTTTCCTTAAATGTCCATAAATGTTTTCAGAGACTACTTCTAATTATCTAATTGAATTTTGTACAGTAAGGAAACTATTCTAGCAAGAAAGATAGAATCAAAAATTGCCTGAGATAGAAAAATAGTAAGTGCTGTGGTGAATGTTCACAAAGCAGATAAGCAAGAAGATACATAAATGATTACTGGTCCCTATGCAGAGTGAGTTAGCATAGTTCTGTTCAACTGATAAATATGAGAATAACTGAGTCACTTCAGTTATTTGTGTGAACCAAGTGAATGTACATATCCAAAGACTGGAAACAGAGCTAAAAACTGTCTCCAAATTTTCTAAAGCAGAAGGTGCTGAATTGCAAAAGCAGAGAGAATCTTATTGTAATTTATTAGATATATCATGTGGAAGTATAAATTAACACTTTGGATAACAAACTAAGGCAAGGAAATATCATGAAACATGCATTATGCAGACTTGATAATATCCAGCTAACTGCAGGTAGCTTTTTGAAGTATTTTTCTAGGTTCTTATTTATATGCAGAAGAGCCGCTCCTTATGGGAGTTAAGTATGGAACAAGGAAACAAGATTTTCAATACAAAAGTCTGAGAAGAAGTTTGTTTTCCATTTCTAAGTTTCCAGAAAACAGTGCTATAGACCAAGCAAGGGATTCTATTTCCCCTTGGTCTGTTTTTTTATTCTCTTCCCATCAGATCTTAAGCATTTCAAGGAGTCTAGACGACTCTGGGCAAAACTAAAAATTAATTCAAGATTGTTTTTAGTTCTCCCTACTGCCTTTCAGATTTCACATCTTGCATCCTCTAGGTAATTTCCTTCTCATCTATGCCTCAAACCTCACCACAATAAGACCTCTCACTCAGTGCCCTATCCAACACTGCTATAACTAAAATTACTCTTTCCATTAATCATTTACTCATCATCAAAGCACCCTTTTTTCAATCAGGTAATCTTAGGTAAGTAAGGAGAAAGGTGTTTATCCTTAAAACAATTCCACTGTTAAGTGCAATTCTATTATGAACCAGAATAAATTGTATTCGCACCTCAAAAAGACAAAATCAGCTTAAAACATTTGCCAAAAAAAGGCAGTCTCAAAAATAAAATATATATGTAACCTCAAGCAGAGACAATAATGCACACGCGAACCAGAAAAATTAAGTTTCAACACACTAATACTGAGTAGAAAGCGGTTTAGTGAGGTAAGGCCGAATATATATTTTTAACACTTGCACTGGAAAATATAATACAATGAACGATTTTAATATTATCGTTTTCCTTTCTATATTACTTTCACAATACATTGAACCAACACATAACAGTCATGTTAGGATATAAAGTAGATTTTAATAAGTTATCTCTCTATACAAGGAAAAAATTACTGAAAAAAACAAACTAATATTACATATTGAAACAGATTTCAGTTAATCCATTTTTATCTTAGTATATCTTTTTTATTTCATAGAGGACAAAAAAAAGGTCTCACCCATACTACTCATGAAACAGAGGGGGGAAATAAAAAAAAAAAAACCAAACCAAAAAAAACCAAAACAAACCCAAAAAACCAACCAAAACCAAAAACAACACCACAGAAAAACAACACAACCAAAAAACACACCACACAACCACTCAAAAAAACCACAACACAAAAAAAAAAAAAAAAAAAATCAACAAAACAAACCCCAATCCAAAAACAAAATGCCCCAACCCAAAACATCACCACAGCACAAACAAAAAAAAAAGAGGCCCTCACACCCACCCATCAGAGGCTAGAATACTAAAACAACAAAAAGTAGGTGAAAAATATATAGATCTCACTGCAAGACTTATGAAACTCCTGGGCTACACAAGTGACTCTCACACACCACTGAGATTTTACAGGCAGACCTAGTTTCCAATGCACTGGCACACCACAAATACCCAGGCTGATTTATCATCATTTCTCAACATCGTACTTTTCAAAAGAAGAATCATAGAGCAAACAAACGGTCAACTACCTATCTGTATGCCCCAGGTAGGCTCAGGTCTCAAAACTCCTGAGACCTCAAGTGGATATCCTCCGTGGCTTACGACCTCCCAAAACAGTCGCGTACGGAAATTACAGGACGTACCGGCCACTGGAGCCCAAGCCCACAACAAATATATGCTCGACTGGTAAGCATACCAAACTGCTAACATAGAGTTACATGTTTGCCTATAAGATATATACAACACAAAACCACAAACCCGACACACATTACATTTCTCGAGCCAATAGATAGCACAAGCGATAGGAACAAAATCCAAAATCCCATCAAAATCCACACCCCCCAACATCAACGTAACAAACAAATCCCACCTACATATGAATTACAATAACCACTTCCATCGCATAAACTAGTAAAAAATATTATTTTACCACAAAATGGCGATTAGATCTATATGTACCATGCTATCAAACACAACATCACGACCCAGACCTCTCCTCCGCACCTAACCATAAACCCAAATCAGCGGATATACGGCTAATTAAATCCACTCTCATCTATATTCTACTATTGCGCATTACTTTCCAA